AAAAACAATTAGAGCAAAATGGAATAGAAAAAAATGTCCGAATTACAAATATTCCAAGTTTAAAAAGTATATAGTAGAAGCGCATAATGTAGCCAACTGGCAACAATAAAAAATATACTTTGTGTTCTCTAATTGCATGATGTTGCCTTTAGGCAACGGACCAAAAACAGTATTTTTTTAGATAATAGATAATTTATTTATAGTATTTAAAACGACAACAATAAAATACATACCTTGCTGATGAGATATAACAATATTTGCACTTTTATAACAAAAAAATAACAAAATAACAACTATATCACTACAACACAAATGGAGAGTACTCACTACTCATAGGTTATGAACTGAAAGGCTACGTAAGTAAAATTAGGAACTTCGTTTGCCATCTAGCGAAAACGTGTAGTACTATATACTTAAGCACTTAGTAAACGATCAGATACACCATGCATTAAGTGGAATTTATTTTCTTCATGCCTTCAATGATACAAAATTAAACTATGTTGCCAAATGGCAACACGATGCATTTAAGGGTTAAAAGATCTTTAATTTGGATGAATGATTCATACGAAGGTAGAATCATTTTTACTTTATTTTAAAGGTACTCAGATAACTCAAATAAAATAAAAAATTAAAAGAAAATCCCATCAAGTGAAGTCAAATATACCGAAAATATAGGTATTCAAAACATATATAACTTCACAATTAGCATTGAATTATACTACCACAGCTAATAATACAAAATACATTTTAAAAGAATAAATTTATTAGAAAGGGCAAATATTAGCTAAATATTCACATTAGTCTAATCATATTATCAAAAGTATTTAATATTATGTTTTCAAATTTTCAGTTTTCCTAAAAATTTTGCGTTTTACATATATTTTTTTTCTATTAATATTTATTAATTCCATAAGCAGTAAGATCTTTTTACATGTTGATGCATTATTTAACGATTTCAATATATCAGGTATGCTTTTATTGTATTAATAATGGGCCACCATTATTAAAAAATCCAGAACTTCAAAATTCATTTAATTTTTACAATTTTTGGACATAATACTTAATTTTCAATAACGATAATTTTTTAGGACTAATTGTAAGCCGATATCAATAGAATGACGTGCAAGACCTATTTGTGAGGTTAGGAAGGTACAAAATAATTTGGACAATTTATTTGCAAAGCGAATTTATTAATTTACGGAAAAGGAATATAAACCTACCGGAACATGTGCTGGAGATTATTTCGTGATCTAAGAGGAGAAACTTGAACTGATAGTGTGTAATAATATTTTTGTTACAGGTAAGTGCAAATTGCAAATTGTTTTTTTGAATGGATATTTTTATACACTATAAAAATAACTAAGTAGCACACTTACCAATAAGGTATATTTTTATGATTTATATATATATATAAACCTACAATTTATCGTTAATTGATGCATTTCATTTCATGTTATATTTGTAATTTTTAAGGTTAAGGCAGTGTTGCCAGATGAAAAAAAATATATATGGTATCCGACACTTGAAAAAAATGGTATTTTGCTGACAAATATGGTATCTTGATAACACTAAAATAACAAGGTTTTACACAATCAATAAGTAAAAAACAACAGTACTATTGAATTTGTATTTTAAACCATGTATTTAAGCAACAAAAAACGGGTCTATTCTGCAACGCTTTTGGTTAATTTTTAACAAGTGTATTCTATAAAAATTGTAATGGGTTTATTTTAACCAAATCTGTTAAAATTTAGCGGGACCAAAATAGATGCTGTTAAAAGTTAACCTGGCTTGACAAATGGTATAATTGATGTCTATTATTTATAATTATAATGGCCGTTCAAATTAAATTATTCCAAGATTTATTTGCAATCGCAGTTTAATGTGGCTTCAATTTGTTGTTTAGCAAAATATTGATAACTTCTAAAAAATCAATTGGATTTGTTTTTTTTGTCATACGTGGGGCACGTTTCTTTTTTTCATCCCCCATAATTCGGCTAAATCATAAGAATCTTATAAATTGTTTACTAAAAGATAAACAAATATTTATCCAGCAATCGAGTTTAACGCATGACCTACGTGTTTTAGAGTCAGAGTAGTGATGTGCCATGTTTCGTTAATACCTACATAAAAATTGTACAGTTAAAAATATGGTAGGAAAATGGTATCTGCAGCCAAAAAATGGTAGAAAAATGGAAAATGGTATCCTCAAAAAACTTATAGGTATGATAGGTGAAAAAATGGTATAAATACCATAAAAATGGTATATCTGGCAACACTGGGTTAAGGCAACCGGCAATCATAAACTCAGTGAAGTGAAGTTGCAGTAGTTCATTTGCATCTTTATAACTTAGGATTATTACAGGAATAGTTACACAATTTCATAATTTACCATTCCTTAAATATATTACAGGTTAATTGTGGCTTATAGAATTATAAAATGAAAAATCATAAATCGTTACAAAGCCATCTCAAATATACAAATATTGGTACGCGCCACATACCTACAAATTTTTATACGAACCCTTTTTTATTTTATCTGTTTTGTTTGTAATTTTTCCACATTTTCTATCTTTATCCTTTATCCACAAAAATTCTTGTTCGGAGAACAAAGCGGAAAAAATAAAATAACAGCAAAGCTATAAATCGAAGATAACACCGATAAAAGCGATGATAGGCTGTGTTTTTGATAAATATTTGTAAAAATGTAACAATTAGCAGTTTTTTAACACAAAGATTCGCGTAACAAAGCCAGATATGGTTTCAACAAGGCCAACATTTCTGTGAAATATTTTGCGATATCCCGCTCATAAGTAGTTCACCGATTGTTTTGCAACAATTACGGTATTAAGATAAAGTCAGTGTTTCACCAATAGAACATGAAAAGTACACAGTTTACTGTAAGATCAGAAAATTTCTATTGGAGATATTTGAAAATACTGAATACTGGTCATATTTTATTTGAGGTGTGGTAGATAGATTATACATCTACATACAGACTATCATTTATGTACATATTTGAAAAGTGCAAATGATGTAAAAATCAAAAACATGAAAGAAGTTTTCAATATTCGCAAGACACTATAATTTGATATGTTCTTGGAAAGAATGACTTATCTAATTAAAAGGAAATTCCCAGCCACTTCAAATAATCAAAAACAATGCCATGTATTTCTATTCATAAACTTCTGTAAAGTATAATCTAATGCGATAATATACAATTTTATTGTTCAATATGAACTTCGTTTTCAAAATCAATATTATATCTTTGTTTTTTAGAAATAAAGGTTTATATAAATGACGTTTGATAAAAAGAAAAGGAAACGAACACCTCAGAAAGTAAAAGTTATAATTTGCTATTTGTGTTTAAAAAAACTTCCTCGTCATGATCTGCAACAAAAGACGCTATTACTGAAGTACGTGATCTTGCATAACTAGTGTTGGAAAAGTACTTACGTACCTACCAGACTATAGGAAGCTGTTAAAAACACAACTGTACCGAATTGTCGATTAGAATGCGACATCACAGAAACACGTACATATCTGTGAAAATAATAATTGCAAATAATTGAAGCATATATGTGTAAAATCGAAAGGATTTTGCTTCCTCTCCACGTACGTGTACATTTTAGCGTAAGACAAAATAAAAGCACGTATGGTGTATTTTGTGCAATATTCTAAACCAAAGCCGTACTTTGTTGTAGTGTTACGCTTTACGTATATATACCACTTGAGACTTGAGCTTTTTCAACCAATTCTTTCCAATCATATTCTCAGTTTTGTATGTTAATGTTCAATTTCCGGTTGTATGTTGTGGTATACTGAATTGTCCATACTCCGAAGAGATTTCGAAAGACAATAAAAAGTCGGTTAAATAGTCTTAACTTTGACCAGATTTTATAAAAATTTATTAGCTTTATTCGTGGAATTCTATTTTCGAAAAGTAGATTTAAAGTTTCTGTTTTTTTTAATAACGGATGACTCGCCACAGGTAATAATTTTTATTAAAAACGTAAGTGCTTTGCGCCATCGGTCGTCGTGTGTGCGGTTGAGTGGTTCTTAAGTAGATGCTTGGAGAGACCTTGGTAAAGAAACAATAAGCAATTTTGTTATTAATAATCACAATAAATAACGCGTGTCTACATATTAATTACATAATTGTTGGTCCCTAACAGTCTTCTGCTAATCGTATCCGTCTCAACAATGCACTTATATGCAGTTTATAATATAAAATTCATATGTATCAAAATATAATTTCATGATATAATTTGATAATACAATATAGGTATTCATTCTTTTATCTTTGAGGTTTTTGAGGTCTACTGATATTTGATTTAAATACAAGTTTATGAATTTACTATAAACATATAAAATGGAATTTTCAATTAAATCACTTTAATTAAATCTGAAAATTAAGACATTCCTTCAAACTAAATCTGTCAAGATGCTTGATTTGGATTTAAATCAACATACATTACCCAAACAGATCAAGTTGGTTGCCTAAGATCAGGCTGTACGATCACAAAAGAAAATGTTTTTGGAAGAGTTGCATCAGCTGTATCTATACGAAATCAGTACGTACGTGGATATTTCAGTCTCATGTTTGACGATATTTTAATATTCGTGAATCACGGGTTAGGTAATATTTAAAAAATTGTTAGCCTACTCTTGTAGAGTCCCTGTAAAACGTAATTTAGCTTAAATCTCTGTAGGGGAGTAACCTATGTTTGAATCAACATACTGTTTGTTGTCAATATGGATTTATTATCATTTATTTCATAGAAACGGATAAAGCGGAATATGTTATAAAATTGGAATTATTTTTTGTTTAATTTGATGTTGTTTTGATTAATTTTGACGTGTATACCCTGACGTTCATTGACAAAAAAGCAAAATAGATAACTCTGCCATTCGAATTTGGCAGAATTTTCGAAACTAGTTTTTATTAGTGAAATCTGCATTATACGTTGTGGCACCTACTGCGTATGAAGGAAGTCCTGCGCAAGCGTATTCCGTCCCTTCATTCATTCCTTGTTTAGAAAGATGGCAGACAACAAGCTGTATGATATTTTAGGAGTTAGCAGAACGGCTTCCGATGGCGAAATTAAAAAGGTAAGACTCAATTTTTACCCCCTTATTCGTACACGCGTTCTCCGTCATTCCGACACGAGAAATTTTCGAGCCCTTTATGGCGTAATCCAAAGGTCGATGACAAGTACTTTTTTGCCAAGGCCAATAATAACGTGAATTTTATTCAGATGCACGTTTTCACCTAGTGCTTTTTTCCGCAGCAATACAGGAAGTTGGCGAAGGAGTTCCATCCCGACAAGAACCCGGAAGCCGGAGATAAGTTCAAAGAGATCAGTTACGCGTACGAAATCCTCTCCGATCCAAAAAAAAGATCGACTTACGACAAGGTAGGGCTGAAGGGAATGCAAGAGGGGGCCCACGATGGCTTCGGGGCGGACGACATGTTCTCCCACATCTTCGGCGGGGGCTTGTTTGGCTCCATGTTTGGGGGAGGAGGAGGAGGAATGCGGAGAAAACAAAGAAGCGAGGACACAATCCATCCCCTGAAGGTAACCCTCGAGGACATGTACAATGGCAAGACATCCAAACTGCAGCTCAGCAAGAACGTTATTTGTGCAACTTGCGGTGGGAAGGGCAGCAAAAGCGGACACACAGAGAAGTGCCACACATGCAACGGCTGCGGCTTGAAGGTGACGTACCGTCAGATAGCCCCGGGGATGACGCAACAGATGCAGACCCGGTGCCCGCAGTGCCAGGGCGAGGGCGAGATAATCAAAGAAAAGGACCGCTGTCCCACCTGCAGAGGTAAGAAGGTCTGTAACGAGACGAAGATAATCGAGGTGCACATCGACAAGGGCATGCGGGAGAACCAGAAGATATTCTTCCGCGGCGAGGGTGACCAACAACCTGACGTGGAACCGGGCGATGTGGTCATTATTTTGCAACAAAAACCACACGAACGTTTCCAGAGAAACGACGACGACTTGCACGTTAAACACACCATTTCCTTGACCGAAGCCCTATGCGGCTTCACTTTTGTCCTGCACCACTTAGACGGACGTGATATTTTGATCAGACAACCCGCCGGCGAGGTTATAAAACCGGGCGATGTAAAGGCTGTGATCGGAGAGGGCATGCCCCACTACAAAAATCCCTTCGAGAAGGGCAACTTATACGTTACATTTGAGATTAAGTTCCCTGAAAGTCACTTCACTAACGAGACTAACCTGAAGGCTCTGGAGACCTTGCTTCCTCCGAGGACCCCGTTCGTGATGCCCGAGGGAGATCACGTCGAGGAAGTCAATTTGGAAGATTTCGACCCCAGCGATAGGGGATCGCATTCGGGGGCGCGAGGCGAGGCGTATGCCAGCGACGACGAGGATCAGATGCACGGTTCGGGTATACAATGTGCTCACCAATAGGATAATTCTTTTTAGTTTATTGCAAATACTGTACTGTTGATCTGCGCTTCTTTCTAAATAAGGATACTGTCTTTACATCTGTAGAAAGATTGAGTTTAATTTTTTTTTGTACGACCATTTTTTTTTTTTTTGACGGAGGGAGATCCTGCGGGGCAGTGTCGAGAAGCGTATATGTCAGTATCCAAGGTGTTTTTATAAACTGCTTTTATTTATATTATAATAAACAGCGTATATCATAGTAAACTCATATTTCTACGTAGAGAATTATAGATTATTTTAATGTAAAAATGTGTTTTGTGACTTATTCAAATCTATAGCTGGACACCTCTGCGTCGGTTGCCGTATCTCTCGAAACTCCACGTCTTCTGTCAATTTCCTTCGAGGTATGGCGATTGATCATTTAACGACATTAATTTATTGTTACAGTCTCATTCAAGACGGACTTTCAATTCAACTTTTCCAAATTACTGTTGCAGTGGACAAAATTCTCTAACATGAATTGAATCGTTTATAATTTTTTATATGAAATTTACTCTTACACTTATTTTGTATAAAAATATTTCATATCACTATTGACCTCCGTTTTGTCATCCGTTACCTTTCAGTGTTTCCGAGGGACTTGGAAGGTTGTAAAACGATTCTGGAGCATTCCAGTATCACGTCGTATGAATATTATATGTTATTACGGGCCTGTTATTCTGTACATGTACCGTAAAATTAATAAAGAAACATTACCACACATTGTGCAATTTTAATCAACCTCGACGTCTAAATAAAAATATTTTTTTTTAGTAGCTTCTCCAACTTATTTTGGTAATTCTTTTTTTTTAACAACTGGCATTAATGCCCTTTTGAAACTAGATCAAAAAAGAGAAGGATAAAATTGTGTAAATTAGTCACCACAATCACAAGTAAGAAAATTATCTGCAAACTAATGTAATCTATATCAAAAACATCCGTGTCATCGAAATTTAAAGATACTGGAATTTTTATTACTCGACTCAACTGACAATCACATCAAATTTAAATTAGCAGTGCTGTCAACAACAATTTTTTAAATACCGACACCATAGAAATACAAAGTTACTAAGAAAACTTTAAAAGATCCACCGAGTTACTGATTTATACTTTGAATTAATCTGGGTTTATGCACACATGTATACCATTTGGTAACGGGACTAGTTTATAAAACCAAATATTATGTTTATGGACAAAGTCCCTAAGAGTCGACAAATAAATATTTCAATACATCAAATTGGCCAAAAACTTGGAACTCAAATTCGGCCATTTTAGGTATCGGGCCGAATCACATATTTGACAGACTATGTAATAATAGCTCTGTTCGCGGAGCCTGTCAAATTAGTCCGGGATCAGTCAGAAGCAGTCATCCAGCTACTTTCTGTGCTATTTCCTACAAGCGTAGCGTAAAAGAAGTAGATAAACGATTGCTTCTGATTGATCCCGGATTAATTTGACAATCTCCGCGAACAGAGCTAATATAATGTAGGTAATCCACATTTATGATTACATGGTACACTGCGTGCTTTGCCATTTATCAGGGATTCTAAAATTTATATGCAGGGTTTATTCAAATTATACAATTAATATTTTCAATTATTCTCTTTCCTTTAGACCTCAAAAATTATGTGCCGGAAAAAAATGAACAAATTTTAGAGCCATCTATTTCATTTTTCATTTATTTGTGAATATCGAATTACTGTTATCCGTTCCCGAAATAATTGTCTTCATACGGACCGCAATATTTCTGTTCACTTGTTTCAATCACTTTCACCAAGGCCAACACCAAAAGTCCCTACTTTCAAGTTTCCTGCGAAAATTGGCGACTGTCAAAAACTGGCTGCTATTTGGTGCTCCGCTGCAGGATTATTGCCGCTGAAGTGAAGGGTCAGGGGTGAGGATAATATTTAAGTAAATAATGGCTCTTTCAAGACTAAATAACAGTCGGTTGACGACTGGAGTCGGCATTTTCTTGAAGATTTATAAGAAGTCTTTCACACCTCGAATACTGTCTACCATGGTTAGTGTTATGTCATCAAGGTGTCAGTTGATAATATTTTTAAATTGACGTTTGTTCTAGTTTGATTTAATCGGTTCCTGAATTGCGTACATGTCTTTTAAGCATCCGGTAAAGAAAAATCATGTTTCTGTTAACACAGAAACATGATTTTTCTTGTGATTATTTGATAGGTAGGTGCATGTCCTGCTTGTTTACAGGCTGATCCTAGCAAAGACTACAGGACAGAAAAGGATACTTTTGGAGAACTCAAGGTGCCCAACGATAGGTACTATGGGGCGCAAACGGTCAGGTCTACCATTAATTTCCCCATTGGAGGCGAATTTGAACGGATGCCGGTAAGTTATTTATTTATTATTAACAATATCATTTGGAATTTTTCTGGATATGCTTTTTAAAGTAGGCATTATTAATATGATAAAAAATTTAAGTTGACAGATGCAGAAACATTTATTATCCTTTCTAACACTAACTAATCATTAATATTTTATAGTTTGATGAAAATAGAAAGTGACTAAGAAATTAATACTTATTAATATTAATAACATTCCTTTAAAACTATTTAATCAAGCCAGTGCATGTAGCGAATGCAGGTTATTATAGCAAAACAATATGTGCAATTAAAAACTAGTTTATTTGTTAAACTGTTAAAATTTTATATGGAAATTTTTATGTTGCAATGAACATAACGATAAACAAGTTTCGCAATTGTTATAAAAAACTTGTTTGTTTTGGTAATTTTCTTCAGTTAAGGATGCAAGGTTCAAATTTGCATTTAACATAAACACTTTTTTAAGTGAATTAAAATAAATTTGAAAGAGTTCTTTTTTTTAATTTGTTGTTTTTATTCTGTCTGCAACTGATTAAGTCGTACGTCTTTATTTCGCAATGAAAAGGAGAAAGTTAACTGAGTTAATAATCTTGAAATTGCCGTACTTAAGTGTGTCGGTTGAAATTTGCAGTTATATCATGAATTTATTCATAAAAGTTGATAAAAATTTTCCATTAAACAATTAGGCAATGATATTTTTATCATTGTACTTTTGTAAACAAGATATAAACGCTACAGATTTGTTATTAGAATTTAAAAGCTTTTGTTTGATTTTTAAAGGAGAATAGAGATTTTGTTTTGGGCACTTTATAACTTCAGGATTTTATGCCCCAAATTTTAATTGACCATTGGTGTGATGGGTCTTTTTATAATATACAGGGTGATTCATAAATGGTGACCAGAAATGAAACCTCGTATTCTTTGGTGAATTTTAAGGGGTCTTTCCTATAGTTTTATCTAGGAGGCTTCGTTAAAAAGATACAGGGTGTTAAACTTCAAAAAATATTTTAAATTTTTTTAAATAATTTAAAAACTAGTGAATGAAATAATTTGAAATTGGGCACACGTATTTATGTAAACGTTGTCTAAAATTAGAGGGCTTTTCATAAAATTTACATGCTCCAGTGGTATCAGTGGCATATTTTTCTAAATAAAGTAGTACGCCACTGCTCTACGGTAACAACCATGATATTTCAGATTCGTCTTTCAATTTTCTACAAATTAATACTCTCTTATGTTTTTCGGAAATAGCCTGTTTTTCGAGTAAAACTTAAAAAACCAACTGAATTTTGCTGAAACTCGCAACTCTAAATAAAAAATTTTCAAAATTCACAGGAAATTCTATTTTCTTATTTTACTTTTCATTATTGGGATATTTTTTTTTTATTAATTTAAAATCACCGTCGAATAATAATCGATTGCATTGTATTTTCAAAATCAGCAAATCTGTGTCAAGTTTTCAAATCATGATCGTGGAATTAAAGCTAACAAGACTAGTTTGGTGGAACACATACTGATTTCTTGTTTGAATAATTTTTATGGAAATCCTGTTAGCCGCAGAAAATCATAGCAAAGTTTATTTAAAATTTTCTATTAATTCGGAAAATATAAAAACTACTAGTAGTAGATGTTTCTATAACTTTCTTTCAAAGTAAAAATGTTATTAGAAAAATTATGTTTATTGTCAAAAATACATATTCTTTTACATATTTTTGGATTCTACATTAAATCTGACTTACCTTGTCTATCTCAGTAGTATGCAATTGCAATTTCCTACACCTCTTTGTCTGTGTGTACAAAAAAACTTGTATGACTATAATTTGTTTGAAGGGACAAAGGTATTTTTTTTACTAAAACTATTTGTATCACTAGTCTGTTCTCAATAAATTTTAAAGTCTACATATCTGCTGCTTCCTCTGTACATCAATGCCAGTCATTTAAAAAGAACTAGAATTAATAATTTAAATACTTTAGAGAATTTTTTCGTTCCTTAAGAAATTAAAGTAACAATTCTGTAACAGTTTAAGGTAGTATTAATTATTGAATGACGGCGAAAATATGAATATGAGCTCTTAGAATTTTTTTTTTGTGTGAATATTCCAGAAATTCAGTTCTCTGTAGGCACAATATTTATAAACCTGCTAATTAATAACAACTTTTTGGGTTAGTTTGTACTCTTCATTTTAGAGTTTTTTGTTACTAGAATTTTTGAACATGAACATTAAATTGCAAAAAATGGCAGATATCGCAATGTCAAATTAATTTAACGAGTAGTTTTTAGATTTTCGATATGATTTTAGACAACAATATTTTCAGAATTTGTTTCTGATTAACCAACTTAGTGAAAAACATCTTTTCATCACAACATTTGACAACAAATTTGAAAACGTTTATCCCATAAAAATAATTATATTTTATTTTCTAGGGTGTGCGATTTTAAATTTCTACCTATTCCAATCCTTTATCTAACAGCACAAACAGTTTTATTGCCCAAATAATCATACTGACAACGCAAATTATTTTCGAAAATAGGTCCAGATTTACAAATACAGTAAAACTCGGTTATAGCGAGCATTCACGGGAACGCAAAATTTGCTCGTTATACGCGAGTGCTCGTTATAGACGTCGCCGTCGCCAACTATGCTGAACATTATTGGACACATAATTATAGCTGCATTGCACTTGTATTTTTATTTTCAAACATATAATATTATTTATCTACATAACATAGATACGTATAACTGTAGGTAAGTTACATTACATAGCATTTATTATTAACGAAAAAATTCTGTAATATTTTTCTGCACCACTCTTTTGCTTAATATCTCCTGACTGATATTTCTTTGCAACCGATCAGCGGCATTTAAGAACTGCTCGTTTTCCGGATATTTGAATTCGACGTATGATACTATGGTTTTTAACGCAGAGATGGCTTCATGTGTCGAAGGAACTGTAACCTCATCGCTTCCCGTCTCTTCTTCATCACTTTCTTCATCTATTGATGGGTTAATCGCTAATTGTGTGATTTGAATTTCATTTGGGAATTCAGCCACTTCGAGATTTTCGTCTACCATGTCGTACTGAACTAAGTCAAAGACGTCAAAATCGGATATGTTGTTATTTCTACTAGTCATAACAAGTTTTTGCGTTCATTTGATGTCATGTGCGTAAAAACTGGTTCTACGATAACTCGTTATAGCCGAGACCACTGTTGCGCGGGACCAAAATCAAAGCTCGTAATAGCCAAGCCCTCGTTATATACGAGTTTGTTATAGCCGAACAAAAATACACGTGTTACATAGGGAATTCGGAAGGGACATTTCAATCTGCTCGTTATAACCAAGTGCTCGTTATATCCCCTGCTCGTTATAAGCGAGTTCAACTGTACTTAAATTAAAATTTCTAAATATGCCACTAGTATATTTAACTGACTTTTGCTACGCTTTGCCACATTTTAACTGCAAAAATTTGCAATCTGTCACGACTTATGTGTTTCAGTACCCCGTCATTACAGCCATGGGCATCCTGAAGAAGGCGGCGGCGATCGTCAATAAAGAATACGGCCTCGACGCCAAAATAGCGGAAGCGATCTCGAAAGCCGCCGACGAAGTCATCTCTGGCAAGCTCTACTGCGACCACTTCCCCCTCGTCATTTGGCAGACGGGTTCCGGCACCCAGACCAACATGAACACCAACGAGGTCATCAGCAACCGCGCCATCGAGATCCTCGGTGGAAAACTGGGCAGTAAGGAACCCGTCCACCCCAACGACCACGTCAATAAGAGCCAGAGCAGCAACGACACCTTCCCCACGGCCATGCATATAGCTGTGGCCATGGAAATCGAGCACACCCTGATGCCGGGAATGAAGATGCTGACCGACTCCCTGGATAAAAAGGCCAAGGAGTTCGCCAACATCATAAAGATCGGACGTACCCACACCCAGGACGCGGTACCTCTGACGCTGGGTCAGGAATTCAGCGGGTACGTCCAGCAGATGTGCTTCGGGATCGACAGAGTCAAGGCGACGCTTCCCAGGTTGTACATGTTGGCTTTGGGGGGCACCGCCGTCGGAACCGGTTTGAATACGAGGAAGGGATTCGCGGAGAAGTGCGCCAAGAAGATCAGCGACTTGACCGGTTTGCCATTCACTTCCGCCCCGAATAAGTTTGAGGCTCTGGCCGCGCACGATGCCTTGGTCGAGGTGTCGGGGGCGTTGAATGTCGTCGCTTGTTCTCTCATGAAGATCGCCAACGATATCAGGTGAGTTATCTGTTTTTGTTGAATTAATTTGAAATTTATTTAAAAAACAATTAAATTTATTTAAACGTCTTCACGGTGTTTTAATATTTTATGGAATTATACAGGGTGTAACTAAAATACTTGGTCATACTTTATTAGCAGATTCTGTCGCAAATTAATAAAAAAAATAACAAAGGTCGTACAAACATTTCCTGGAATGCTTCGTTTTCAGTATACTGGGTGTTCAAAAAATAATTGACGAAAAGTCGTGTCATTGGTTTGTACAAGGTTTTCTTATTTTAATGTACCAGGCCGTATAATTTTTTTAATTGGACATTTATAAAAAAAATATTTCGAACAAAAGTTATCAGGTTTCGAGGGGCTCAAATTATGGTGACCTTGGAAGTCAATTATCAAGGTCAACCTTAATTTTTTAAATGGAAACCCATATTTTTTATTGTAGATTCGTATTCTACGGGAAAAAATATTTAACTGTTGTATGAAAAATTTTTTTGAAAATGCTTCATTCTCGCCAGAGTGCGCTATACTTTTATTGTTCTATTTTAATTCTCAGGCTAATAGCTCAAGAAATAAGCAGAAATATTTCCAACAGTAGTCGTCAGATTTCGGAGGGATCAAATTACCATGACCTTGAAATTAACATTCAAGGCAATTATCAAGGCCATTTCAAGGTCAACCTTGATTTTTTAATTAAGTAAATAAATAAATAAAACCCATATGTTTATTACAGTTTCATATTCAGTGCGAAAAAATACAAAACTTTTGTATGAAACATTTTTCTTGAAAATAATTATAGGTGTCCATTTAAAAAATCAAGGTTGACTTTGAAATGCCCTTGATAATTGACTTCAAGGTCAAATTCGAGGTGACCATAATTTGACCCCCTCGAAACTTTTGTTTGAAATATTTTTTTACAAAAGTCGAATTAAAGAAATTATGCGACCTGGTACACCTTGTTGTAGATATTGCGATTATTTGAATAATTATTTTTACCCAAAAACTGTTGTGATTATTTTTCGTAGTGAATATATAGACATGACTTGGCACTGTATTATTAAATATTAATGTGCAAACGCCTGGTTAGAAAAGTCCTTTTTTTTCCTTGAAATATATAAAAATGAAATGAATTAATCGAATTTCCAAAATATTCACTATAGTAGGATCGTATTCGATGCAAAGTAGAGCAAAAATTGTCGCTTTTATCAAAGGAATCGTGTCATCATTTTTAGGAAGCGTAACCATTTCAAATTTAAAATGAAATTGAATGTAAAATTTAAAATACCGCTTCATACGCACTATATTCTGTTTGATCGAGTGTATGAGGTGGTCAGTTATAAGTCAAATACTAACCTGGCGAGCTTTGTCGTAAATAGAAACCGCCTCCAAAAAACAAGTAAACAACAGTGGCACGTACAGAGGTGAAATGTAGTACATATGCGGAATTTAAAAAACAAATTGGATTTATAGTAAATTAGATTTAAATATAATAAAAAAAATAAATAGTTTGTTAGAATAAAGGGAGATGCCTTTCTTTATCATTTCGTCTTTCGTAAGTAAAAAAATTATTCAATTTCTAAACCCCTTAAAATCGTACCGCACTGGATCCCTTGACAGGCAATGATTTATTACTTTGCATCGAATATGATCCTACTATAGCATCGAAGTCCTTTTCTTCAGATTTTCCACCACTTATAACGTAAAAGCATTTTCACAGGCACGCGTCATGTTCTTTAAAAAATTTTAATTCATGTATCATAGGAATCATCTTTTGCAATATTTTTATATACTTAAGCTGCTCTGTGTATATTTAATCTCTTCATTTTACTATTATACACTTTGATTTGTTTTTATTATCTAATATTTAGTTATTTGTTAATATTCGCAAATATCAACTTGAAATATTTACGTTTGAATTATAAAGTTACATTGTATTATTTTGTCATGTCGATCCAAGGTTAAGCTCTGGTTTGATGAACTCTGTTTACAAATCGATTTGTTTTGTTTGTTTTAAAATTGTATCTCTTAAACCTAAATTATCAGTTATGAAATTAAATATAACAAATATTTACGTGGTACTTGATATTTGCAAAATAAATTTTATTTGTAAACAACGAAATCATATTAAACATATAATCGCCAGCGATATTACATGACGATTATCAAGTTGGAGAGAATATTTGAATAGTAAACAAACTGAGGTGCGAAACTCTATTAGCATAAATATTTGTTGGAAATGTAATGAAAATTAGCAATGTTTCTGTTTACTGCAAAAAGTGGGACAGAAACGGACAGCGCCCTATTTCACTTTTGACAGTTTTGATGATTGAAAAGGTCCATTATTAATGCATTCTGCTTATCATAAAAAAAAAATCTGTAGGTTTGTGCATTGACCCGAATTAGGGTTGCCAAGGTCATTTTGATCCGAAGACTGGGTTTTGCAATCATTCTTCGGTTCCGGGTTTCAGTTAAAAGTATTCGTGTTCACTAAAAACTTTACTGATGGACAAAAAGTTAATAAACTTCCTCTTGCAATCCATAACAATAAAATCAACTTCGCAGTTTATTTATTATTTAAGATTCTGATAAAAGTCTTTAATAATAACCGCACAGGGAACAAGAAGACGGGAAAAATAATAATTTACAATTATTATTATTATTGACAAATATCAATAGTAAGTTGTAATACTAAACGGTGGTAAGTGTGAATGGGTAAATTAGAGTTTATTTTTATTCAGGTGTTTATTCTCTTTCCTTACACTTCTGCAAAAAATTAAGGTAGCAAAAAAATTTTTCGAATTTTTAGTGATTTTTCAGAATGCTGTATCTCAGTTAAAAATGATCGTATCAAGGTTTTAAAAAAAGCATTTTAAAGCACCGAATGTCTAGTTTCCAGATTTCTTAGCCCAAAATTTTTAGGAGGGACAGTCATTCCGAAATCCTAAGAAATAAGAGTAAAAAATTTTTTTTTCAATTTTTTGCGTTCTTTTTCTCGGCCCACGGGCTTGGAAAAATTTTTTACACAAAAATGTGAAAGAATTGAAAAAAAATCAAATTTTTCATTTTTACTAACATTACAGGGTGCTCAGAAATGTAAATTTTGCTCCTTTAAATTTTTCTGAAATTTTGATGAAGCGGTCAGGAAAAACCGTTCGATAGATCGCTCTGCCCATTTATGGAGTTTTTGGGGGTACATCGAGGTGCAAAAATTCGTACAAGCATTAGACTCCATCGAAATTAGCAAAGATGCGGTCGACTTAGCAAAACAAGTCAAAAAGTCACTTTTTTCAAGTTAATGTCGAGGATGAAAGAAATTTTTTTTCTTCCAAGAACACTACATAGCCTTGTAGGCAGTTTATTCGAGATTTCGAAACTGCCCGTCAAATTCTGTCTGATCATTAGTTGCTGAGATATCGATGGTTAAAGCCAAAAGGATGCTTTTGTATTCGTAGTCGAATATCTCCGTGTCAAATTAACGTAGAGAAAAATTTAAAAAAAGAAATTAAAGCTGAATGAATAGGCTATCAACTCCATATCATGATTTATGTGTAAAAAATTTTTCCAAGCCCGTAGACCGAGAAAAAAACGCAAAAAATTTAAAAAAAATTTTTTAGTCTTATTTCTTAGAATTTCGCGATGACTGTCGCTCCTAAAAATTTTGAATTAAGAAATCTGGAAACTAGACATTCGGCGCTTTAAAATGCTTTTTTTTAAAACCTTGATACGATCATTTTTAACTGAGATACAGCATTCTGAAATATCACTAAAAATTCGAAAAATTTTTTTGCTCCCTTAATTTTTTGCAGAAGTATAGTTCGCAAAATTAAAAATGTCTTTAAACTTTGTTTTTGAGATACAGGGTGTTAAAAGTTAAAAACCTTTTTTTTCAAATATTTCAAAATTGACACGAATTTAGTAGTTGGAACTGCTGACCAAGTATAATCAAAATTTTAAAAGGTTATAAGGCTTATAAGAACAAAAAATCATTTTGTAATTGAAATTAAATGTGTTTTCCTGGGGGTGGGAATTTTTTTTCCACTATGTAGTTTTAAAAAGCATTATATTCGAATATCGAAGTGTGTTCTCAGTTCGATTTTTAAGTTTTACTCGAAAATCAGGCTTCTTTCGAAAAACACAAGAGAGTAGTAATTTGTAAAAAATTGAAAGACAAATCCGAAAACATCATGGTTGTTACCGTAAAGCAGTGGCGTACTATTTTATTTAGAAAAATATGCCCCTGATACCCTGTATCTCCGCCACTGGAGCACGTAAATTTTAGGAAAAGCCCTCAAATTTTGGACAATTTTTACATAGGAACCGTATCGTAAGGGTTTTCCCTGTAACTTTTACGCCACTGGAAAAATTGACATTTGACAGCAAATTCTAAAGTGCCAATGAATTTCACACAAAAAGAGTTCTCTTGGTTCATTGCTCTAAAGTCACTTTAACTTAAAAAAACTTAAAAATAATTTTTTATCACATTAACGACTGAAATTTGCAAAAACTGTTCAAAGTTATGTCCGTTGGCTTAAATGCACGCATTACATCGTCGCATCATGTTTCTATGAACGTTGTATAGTTTGATGGATATTTCTAATTTGTTCCGCTGTGGCTTCAACCCTACCGGTCAATTCTCAACCGTATTGACAGGGGTGTCATAGACAACGCTCTTCATGTGACCCCCATAAGAAATAATCAAGTAGGGATAAAAAGTTTTGACACCGTGTATCTCGAAAACGAAAGCCCGGGCAGAATAATGGAAGAGGAAACTGTTTCTTTTTTCAATAGGAATTTACAGTTTTCCGTTGCGACACTTATTTAGGTACACCCTGTATTGTGTTTTTTTTTCTTGATGATGGCATAACAGAATAAACCAGTACAAAAATAAATAAACATTTGTACTGAAGTAAAAAGAATTCGGATGTACCCCTTCACACTTAATGAATTTATAATTGTTTTATTTTATAGATATTATAATTTATGAAGTGAATTTTTTATAGTCCTAAATTTTATTTCTCCTGCAACCGCAACTGCAACGAAATATTAATACATCATTATGTCGCAGATTCCTAGCGTCCGGACCGAGATGCGGCCTGGGGGAGCTCGCCCTCCCCGAAAACGAGCCGGGCAGCTCCATCATGCCGGGGAAAGTGAACCCGACCCAGTGCGAGGCCATCACCATGGTGGCCGCTCAGGTGATGGGCAACCACGTCGCCGTCACCATCGGCGGATCCAACGGCCATTTCGAATTGAACGTTTTCAAACCCATGATGGTGGCCAACGTCCTCAGGTCCATCAGATTGATTGGGGACAGCTGCAAGGCGTTCACGACCAATTGCGTGGACGGCATCGTCGCCAACAAGGAGAGAATCGATAAGTTGCTCCACGAGAGCCTCATGTTGGTCACCGCCTTGAATCCGCATATCGGCTACGACAAAGCCGCCCTCATCGCCAAGACCGCTCACAAGGATAACTCAACATTGAAAGAAACGGCGATAAAGCTGGGAATACTCACCGAGCAACAGTTTAACGAGTGGGTGAAGCCCGAGGAGATGTTGGGGCCCAAGTAAGACGTTCCGTGATGGGGTTGTTTCGGTTTTGTATATAAGATGATATGAATTTTATTTACAGTATTTATGAATGTTGTATTTCTCGAGAGTTTTTGTAAAAATTGCGACTGTACAGAGTGTATGGAGTATCATCTCCTGTAGATGACTGTTTTCGTGAAATAAATTGTTATATACATTTTGTGGCAGTGTTCAAAAACGATTTTGAGCCACGCCAGCATCGAGCGTAGGCAACCAACATTGCATGGCTGGTATCGTCTACTAAAAATCTTACTGCAGGTATAGTCGTTGCGGTATCAGTTGGAACCGCATAAAAATATTTAACTCGTAAACTCTACGGTATCCGTAGGTGTCCTATATTCCGAGCTATATTCCTGACGATATTCTCTAATTTTTTGTAAATAATCTTCCTGAAGTGCAACTATGCGTCGGGATTCCATAATTACCACACGATCGTCAAGTTTTTTACGTTTAAACCGCGCCAAGCACTGCTCTCGACTGCACTGGCAAAGCCAAGTGAACATCGTTCGACACCAAACTAATAAGAATGCCATGTAAAAAATTATTTACGACCTAGTGGACCAATACGGGTTTGCTTTGACGAGCAGCGCGACGCCGTCGATTATACATCAGGCGGACTGGTCTACCAATACCGGACTCGCCCAATGGCTATTCGAGTATAAATTACGAGACACGTCATGGTCAAAGCATAAGAAGAAATTTCAAAAGAAGTGCAGACGGTCCTGTGCTTTAAGATTGACAGGTTCGAATTGATATGGTAACAACTATATACAGGGTGTCCCACTAGGAATTGCCACTATCGGTATCTCCGAAAGTACTGATGCGATAAATCTGAAAATTTGGCAACCTAGCAGAGGCAGTAGGGTCAACGCAGCTAAAATATTTAGCACTTGATGGTACTTCCGGTAATATCGGAAGTCAACATTAACTTTCTTATTTTAATTCGGACACCCTGTATATTTTCATTTTCAGATTCTATGTGAAATTTGGGGCACATTATTAAATATTCCCTATACCCAGATTTTGAGATTAATTTAAAAAAAAAAAATGACCAAAACCCAAAATGTGCGAACATGGCCAACCAACCAAGTTGCAAAAAATGATTTTTCTTAAGTAACTAAAAAACTAGTTATTTTGAGAAAGTTGTATGTTTTAAAAGGATTATCGACCGATTATTTGTAAGTATGGATTGCTTTGTTACTTTTCGAGATATATATCGAAAAAACCGTTAAAAATCTTCTCTTTTGTTGTATTACTCGTTTACATTTATGTTTCCTTATTTGCTATTTATTGCAAGCATGGCCCGTGGCAACCAAAAAAAATTAATTTTTGAAAAATTAAAAATAATTATTTTTCGATATATCGATTTTTTGAAAAACAGGCACTTTCGAAAATTGGCTACATCTTCTTAGCAGATGGCCCTACAGTAACAATTTTCAATTTAATTTCTTCGTAAAGAATTGTATTATCATGGTATTAAAAAATTTTAACGAGTTTATTCATTTTGAGGATCAAAAAATGACTGAAGAAGTTGCACTGTTTTTGAGTGTTTATTTTCAAATAACTACAGTGAAAATCGGTTATAATGACCTTCAAGGGACTGTTTGTTTACGGTTGTTATAACCGATAGACGTAATAAGCAATTACTTACAATTATTTAAAATTTTTATAGAAAAAAAGAGAAATTTACAATGTAAGTCTTTAAGTATGTACATTAGGGCGGCCCAAAAAAACCTTTTTTTTTTCGTGTTGTGTGAAAATATGTTTATCATGTTTTACGAGCCCCCTCAAAAAATCAACTCAAAAAAATTTTTTTAGCGGTTCAAGATTTTTAAAAATTTCCAAAATCGTCAAACATAAAATTTTTTTCTTTTAATTTTTCTTCTCGTTATTTTATCATTTTCTAGGTTGAAAAAAATCTCGATTCTGAAAATTTGAAATCGATATTTTAATTTCTAAAGGTCACTCATAATTATTTTAATTTTCAAAGTAGTGTAACTGTTTTCAAGCGATCTCTAAAAAATAAATGTCATTGAACTAATAATTTTTTTTATTGAAATTAATGAACAAAAGAATAGAAATAAATCACAAGACACTTGAAAAATTTTTCAACGCTAAATTTACTACTCAGTATTAAATATTTATAATTTTTTAATTTTTTTAAATTTGTGTCGTGATTTATTTCTAGTCTTTTGTTCATCAAATTCAATAAAAAAAATTATTAGTTCGTTGATATTTATTTTTTAGAGATCACTTGAAAACAAGTACACTACTTTGAAAATTAAAATAATTATGAGCGACCTTTACAAATTAAAATATCGATTTGAAATTTTCAGAATCGAGATTTTTTTCAACTTAGAAAATGATAAAATAAAGAGAAAAAAATAAAAAAAAAATATTTTGCCAATTTTGGAAATTTTTAAAAATCTTGAGCGACCTCTAAAAAAATTTTTTTTGACCTGATTTTTTGAGGGAGCTCTTAAAACATGATAAACTAACATATTTTCAGAAGAGACAGAAAAAAATTAATAGTTTTTTTGGACCACCCTAATGAATTCGCGCGCTTTATTTTCAATGAATTGTTTTTGAATAGACTTTATTTTATTTCTATCCTTCCAAATTGTTAAAATCGTAGTGCGACACCCCACATTCTTTCGCTTGCTTGCATTAGTTTCTCCGTTTTCTAGTCTATATTATATGCGATTTTTCTTCTTTGTGAAACACCTTTTTTCTTCGATATCGTGATAGAAAGTGGTAATTAATACATACAAAATATTCGTAGGAAAATTGTAATTTGCCCCAAACGTACTAACTTCTGTCAAAAGTATGGATTGCGGCGGGACAGGTGGAAGAGCGGTGCATTGGTTTTAAGGTCGTATATCACTGTTCGTCATTATAACCGGTATATTCTATGGCAAATGTATATAAAAACGCGTTGCTAAATCCGAAATGTCTTTGTAAACGGTGTCGTAGTAAACGATATTTTTAATAATGTATTTCTATAGGATTTAATCGGGACTTCCAAATTCCGTCGTTATATCCAATATCCAGTAAATAAATCTTTAATTTCAAACCTACCTTTCCGCTTCCCGATTTCTACTTGAAGAAGAGAAATTAAAATATAAAAAAATAAAGTAAAAGAAGAAAGTTAACAAATTAAACAAACGAGAGGTGAAAAAAGAAAATAAATAAAAGGATAAGTATATAGAAACAAAAACAAAATAAAAAAATAACAATCAGAAAACCTCCAAACCTACATTAGAAAAAAAAATTGTATTAAGTAAATAAAAACATTCTTCGAGCCTATCCATGGAGAGCCAGTCGAGGATGTCAATCCAGGATCCATTTGTATTTCCAGAAGGCCTTGGAAGAAGACAATTTTAAAGTTTTTCAAAATGTGCTTTTTTGTCTTACCGCGGACTATACTTACAGTATACAGTGTGACCCATTTGAAACCGGGACACCCTCATGAAATTTTTATTTACAGGGCGATTTTGACCAACTTTTTTTTTGAATTGTAGAGGGGCAAAAAGTGTACGTTAGAATCAAGTGTCATCCTTTTTATACAAAAACCAAGGACTACCAGACGATTTTTGGAGGGTCAAAATTGAAGAAACCATATTAGTGGTATTTTTAGAAAAAATCTAAATATGCCAGTGAATTAAGCGCCCCTTAAAATGGGCCCACACCAAATTTCATAAAAAAATATTGCATATTAATATAATAATTCTGCATAATTCTGTGGCGAAATTAAAAATCACTGAATTTTTTTCGTCTGACGAAGCAAGTCATGAAATAAAACGTCCTCTTATTAAATGGCCGCCAAGGTCACCTGACTTGACTCCACTCGAAATTTTTTTTTGAATTTTGTTGAATATTGTTAGGTCTGTTCCAACAAGAGTCGGGGATTGATTCCGAACCGTTCGAAATATTTGGCCAGCTAAGTTCTAAATGTGTCTTCAGTGAATATATCGCAAGAATTAGTTGGATGCACATTTCAAACGGTTCGAAACCAATTCCCTGTTGGAACAGACCTGTAATGAATAAAAATAGTTAATGTTTTTTATTTTTGACGTTTTATTCCATGGCTTGCTTCGTCAGATGAAAAAAATTCAACAATGTGATTTTCAATTTTGCCACAGAATTATTATTATGAATATGCAATATTTTTTTATGAAATTTGGTATAGGTCCATTTTAAGGGGCGCTTAATCCAGTGGTGTACTCAGATTTTTTCTACAATTTAGAATAAAGTTGGTCAAAATCGCCCTGTAAATAAAAATTTTACGAGTGTGTCCCGGTTTCAAATGGGTCACACTGTATATGGAAGAGGAACGAAGATTTTTAACGGTTTTTTCGATATATCTCGAAAAGTAACAAAGCAATCGATACTTACAAAAAGTCAGTTGGTAGATCTTTTCAAAACCTATAATTTTCTCATTTAAAATTTTTCGATGAGAGCTATAACATATCAGTTATTTAAGAAAAATTTTTTTTTGCAAATTTGTGATTTTTTTTTGGTTATTTTGCATCAAGTTTAAAGAACATTTAAAATTTAATGTCTTACACGATCATATTTTTTTTGTCCAGGTGAAAATTTCTGCAAATTTAACATTAGGCCGTCAGAATGCTTGGACTATAAGAAAAAAAAAAAATAAAAATTGTTACGATTAAAAACAAAATTACAAAAATTAAGTATAAAGGTTACAAAAATATCACATTTTTTTAAACTTTAAAAAAATCTACGCAAAAGAAAAATGTGACTAAAAAACAAAGTTTAATTTAAAATACCAACTAATCAAATTATATAAAGTTACACAAAACTACAAATTATTTTAAGTATCACCAATTTTAACTGTTTTTTTGACTTGACGAATTGCAGTTAAATAAATTTTTCACACTCGTCACTGTATGGTTTGTCTCGTGGGCGGGAAGGTTTGTAACGGTAGAGAAGCGTCCTTAAGCCGTAAACCTTTCCGACTATGCCCAAAAGCCGCCAGAATAACGTGAATAGCAGCCTCGATGGTCCTCTTGACATCCTGTTCGCTTCCTATACCCGGATTGACTTCGACAAGGTCCATCGCCCCTAAGCGGCCTGTTTTGTATATCATTTCCATGATGTGGACGCCCTCGCGTAGAGTAAGGCCCCCTCTCACTGAAAACGGACCGAATTATATTCAGCACACTTTTCCGCGACTTTCCAAATACCGAGAACTTACCAGGCGTTCCAGTACTTGGAGCCTCCAAAGAATCGAGAGAATCGATGTCGAAACTAACATGTATCGACCTCCTTCTCTCCGGATCTATCCTGTCCAAGGCCATGTTAACGACGGTGCCGATGCCGTAGTTTTCGACCTCGTCCATGCCGAATGCCGTTATGCCCAACTTGTCGATCACTAATCGTTCATACGAGTCGACCGATCGCAGGCCGATGTAGGCGACGTTTCTTATGGACATGACGGGTTGCTGCCAGTCCATACCCGGCAGGTAAGGCCAGTAGTCCGCAAGTTCGGACGCTAGCAGGGCCATCGGCATGCCGTGGACGTTGCCCGAGGGCGAAGTCTTGTTCGTGTTTAGGTCTGCGTGTGCGTCGATCCATAATAGGCATATGTCTTCGTTTTTGGATTTTATGTGGCCGTCGACGGTGCCGATTCCTGTAAAAGTTAGACGTCCTGTGTAATATTTATTTACCGGAGCGAATTGAACTTTTTTATATTTCGAATTAATTTCAGTATACAGGATGTTAAAAATATATATTTATTTACATCTTCATTGCTTTTCAAGATGTTTAGATGAAATTTTGGATACTTTTTATTTTGAAAAACAATCAAAGCGCAAATTATGGAATTTTTCAAATAATCTCTCTCGAAAAAACGACCGAGCGCTTTGTAAAATATGGCTAGAAAATAAAATTTTAAAATTATACCTATAGAATGATCTCCACCGAGTGTAAGACAAATCCGACCATCTTTTATAATTTTCTCCACATTTCTAGACAGTTCTTGGTTACATGACGCTACGTGTGCGTATTCCCTCATATTTGGAACTTTTTTTTCAATCTCTTCATTGACTTGGTACGTAATATTCCCATAGTCTTTAATGTTGATTTTTTTATCTAAAAATAAATGCGGTGTACTTCAATTCAAATCCAATTACTACAGTGGCGACATAAGGACAGTGGCGACGAAAGAGGTCCCGTTAATTTGGCACATCAGATCAAATTTAGCATTTGACTGACATGACAATTTTCTGATTAGATTTAATTACACGAAATTAAAAAAAATTAGAAACAAAATGTAATTAAATAGTCGTAATGTGACATTATAACAAAAAAGAGGCTTTATTTTTACAAAGGACCCCGCAACTATCCTTATGGAAAACCGGTTTCGGTCGAATGGTACGAAACTTTGCCGAATGATAGCCCTCAAGGTGTCAATCAAAAAAGTCCATAGGACCTAGGTCTGAAAATCTACTGTTCTGAAGCTACAGCCTTCTGAAGTTATCGAATCCACATGTTCGATGACCATCAAGTCCAATGATTTATGGGCGAGTAAAAGCAAATATTTTCTAACAAAATACAGGCTGTTACAAATTCGCTTCTCACTAAAGGGATCTCAGAAACTGTAAGATACGAATTAGCTTAAATGGGGGCAAAGTTGGATAATCAGGGGACCAACATTATGCCTCTAAAAAATCAAGGCTAACATGATTAGTTTTCGAAATATTTGAAAAATAAAAAGAAATTTTGAAAACCTGTTTTTGTTTCATTTCAGCCTTGTTTGAGGCGATATTGAAAAAAGAACACTTTCTCGTGGCAACTTTTTGCGCTCTATCGAATGGTATAATCAATTTTTATATGTAACGTTTCGTCTCTCCAGGACCATCACCAACTTATTATTTTTTTTAAATATGGCCCTGCAAATATTACATTTTTTGCAAACCTTCATGACCCCCGATACCGTACTGTCTCAGCCCAGATTAGATTCAGACGTATTATCTCGTAAAATTCATCTTCGATGTATTCGTTCCAAATTTATCTAAATTTTTTATTTCGATTTCTTTGTTTACTGAATCATCGTACATTCTAAGTGTCGTTAGACCCTCTGAAATCCACTTAGTTATTTAAACTATTACCATGGAATTTAGAAACTCTTTTTGTCTTGAAATTTTTTCGTAAAAGGCAATGTTTTCGAGAAAAATGGCAAAATGTGATTGAATGCATATCGTAATTTGCCATTTTTCCCGAAAACTTAGCGTTTTACGAAAAAAGTATCAAGATACAAAAAGTTTCTAAATTCAATGGCTTTCGAGCGAAATAAAAATTTTTTAGAAATTCAAATATGCGACCACATTTTCTCCAAAGAAAAGGGGGCCCACGAAAAAGAAAAATAAAAAATACGGATCCCCTAAAGAGTGACCGCAAAAAACCTGTGATTTTTGCCCGTTTATTCACAATGCACAGAGAATTTAAAAAAATACATAAAAATATGTTTTTGGTCGCAAATTACTTGTCATAAAAAACTGAAATGAGCATAGCTTTTAGTATTTTGAAAATTTTAAAAATCACCCCTACTTAGGGATTGAAAAAATGCCAAAAATGAAGAATTTGAATGTTACCAATTGATATAAAAACTATTAACATGTGAATTATCTTAATATATTTTTTTTTTTTGGAATTTTTACAATTATTTCTGATATTCTCTATTTTGGGGATGATTCCACCCTCTGAGCGCGCCTAAGGGTGGATTTTTTAATTCAACATGCTTGCTTACTTCAGTCATGAGAATAAATCTTTCTTTGTATCAAGAATCATTCGATAGAAAAATTCACATGCTAATAGTTTTTATATTTAATGGCAATATTCAATTCTTCATATTGGGCGTCTTTTCAACCCCTAAATAGGTTGAATGCTCATGTTAATTTTTTACGAGTAATTCGAGATCAAAAACATATTTTTATCTATTTTCTTTAGTTCTCTGCGAGTGATTAAAATTTTCCACTATCACAAGCGAAAAGTCATTTTTCATTAGTAAAGAAATAATTTAAAAAAATTTCAAATACTATTTAATACAATAAAAAGGATTTTAATAGATTTTTCCTAGAAATGATGGGTTTTTCAGTCATATTAATTTGAAAGACTTGATCAATTTTGACTTTTTTTTTATTATATTTCATGATAACGAATCATTTTACCTGAAACTGGAGAAAAAAAGTACAATTATAACATAAAAACTTTGAATTTGAATCACTTTTGTATGAGTAGGTTTATCAAAAAATGATAAGAGACATTTTTCGTAGAACGTTCAATTTCCTACAAGAATACGTCTCGATCATTTAAATCCGTCTATTGGTTTTTAAGATATAAAATTCTGAAATTGAAAAATAATTCTTCCCATGTTATTTAAATGGAAAATAGAAAATCGCGATGCGCCACCTCTAAATATTAATATTAAGAGTTCCAATTTTTACAGGCATTTCTTCTCACCTGCCTGAATCTATTTCAGAGATTTTGAAAAAAAAAATTGTCGATTTTTTTTAATCAACCTAATACACAAGAAAATTTACTGAAACTTTGACTCGATCTATTTTCTCTAAATCGAAAATAAAAGAGATACTCAAATAGAGTATATGAATATTACTATCGTACATTACTGTGTAATTATTTATATTTTGGCAGTTAACATAATTCACATAACACGTTTGCTTGCTATAACCGAAATGCTTCGACACCATTGTCGCTACTATACTTTACAAAGCCATTGTTCTGATAACAAAGGGAGACCTTTTTTAAATTTGAACATAAAATAAAAAAACTAATAAAATTACTTACGGATTCCTGCAAGCTGTTCCACCAACCCCGCCTTTCTGATAGCGTCCGGTCCGTTTGCAACCCCTACCTTTGGCTGTCCCTTGTCGAAAGGCACTCCCAAAATGCCTATTTTAGTTTCTCTCTCCGTATGCAAATACCTCTTTAAAACCTCAAAACCATTTCGAAGTCTCACTTTTCTCAACATGTTTTCAAAGGAAAATAGCTCAAGTTCATCGATGTGTTTGAAATATTTGAAAATCTTATCAGAATCGAGCGTTTCGAATTGAGGTCGCGGGGTCAAGATTATCAGCGTGTTGAAACACCTAATCCAATTTTGTGACTCTGATAGGGCATTTGAAATGATTCTAAACAATTACTTATGTGGAGTATATTGTTTGAAATGTTTATAAAAAATATATTCAAGTGATTAAAAATATCGTTGGACGAAAGTTTTTGATAAGAAAAAGTACATTTTCCTTTATGAATTTACGTATCGGTTTGTGTACAAATCAAGCAGCTCTTCTAAATATTTAATATGATAAAGAGAGTCTTCTTGTTCCTTTTCAATCGATTTTATGAATATATACCGATTATTTTTATATTCGCTAAGGCTTCCTATGACAGTAACCTAAAAATGACAATAATGTCATTTGTTTACCCATTGACCATATACTTCCATACAGAAGTATGTGCCATTGACCTAGTAAACTATGGACTGGCCCTAGAAAGAGAGGTCAGTCGCGCTGATGCGTGCAAGGCAGATGAAGCTAGTTGAGGCAAATACCGGTAAAACAAATGATGGTACACGGGTTCACGGGTATATCGGTACAAAATGCCGTAAACAAACTTTGAAGTAAATGTCATGTATTGACATTATTGATTGATTTCTTGAATTATTGTGTGATTTAGTTAGTGTATGTGAAAGATTCGTAAAAACTAAATATGGTGCAATCGTGTTCTGCGATAAATTGCGTAGAGACGTTTAAGTGGAGAAAAAAATTAAATTTCATAGGTAGGAAAGAAGTTATGATAGTACCAACATGTTTATACTTTTCGCATCTTTCTGAAAATAATGACCAAGTAGAGTTGTCTCTGATGATAACTTATTAGATTATATTATTTCCCCCATCCTCGAAATAAAATGTCATTTTAACGTCAAAATTTTGCCACTTTAAATGTGATACTCTTCAAATTATTTTTTAACATCAAACCGATTATAAAGAAAAAGTTTTAACTGAAATGTACTTATAATGTGCTCCAGCAAAAATTCTCTTCAAGTAATATGTTGAACGAAGAAAGCATCGACATAGTTTCAATTTATACTGTTCTGTAAAGCAAGAAAATACTTATTTATAATATTTGAAACAACTACATCAGGAGACCTTGCAGTAATTTTAACCGATCGAGTTTACAATATGAGGAAAATAAATGGAGAAAAATATAAAGAATGTATTATAAAAACTATCTGGAATATTATAGCTAAAACAAATTAAATATTGTACTGTAATTAGGACAGTAATATAATAAACCCTTTTACATACCTACACTACTGGAAAAAATTAAAATTTTTTGTTTTAGTCTATATTATTTTTATAGTCTTGGAATACGGCCCAACAGAAAAAAGGGGTAAGGAATCGAGTATAGCTAGCTGATTGGTTGCAGTCGAATTTCTGTAAACAAAGCTTAAGCCCTTACTGCCTCCATCTCTCTCGCACACGTCTGAGCGATTGCCGTTTATAAGTTTATATAGGCAAAATGACAGTTGGGCGAGTCCAGTAGTTTATAAGATCTATGGTTTTACCCATTAGGTGTAAAATATATTAAAAAGAAAATTTCAAATTGCCAAATAATTAAGATACTGGCATACTTACAATATCACCTAATTTCAACTCTTCAAAAGAGGGAGTATTCTTAACTAAATTTTTTAGCGCTCGCATCATAATTGCTCTTGCCTAAATTTATAAATTAAAAACACTTTAATTTGAGAAGTATAAAGGCAAAACAAAAAGTATTCACCTTTAGTATTGGGTCATTACGATTTGCCTTAAGAGCCTCTGTTAACTCGATATGCCCCCGCTTTTCTTTTTCACTCAACTGTAAAGCTGCAAGCTCAGTTTGTTTTATTATACATGTGATATTACTGGTACCATCGTCAACTAAATCATAACAAATATTAGATTTAAAATCACTAGATAAGTATCAACTTACCAACAATAGAACACTTCTCGTAATATCTGGAAAGGGAAACAACTGTTCCACAAAGTAATACATCTTCAAAGGGAATATTCTTGCAGATGAAATAATTATCTATAGTGGGGCAGTTTAGTAGGTCCCTTATAAAAAACATTGCTGTACCGTGCAACTGCCATTTGTAGACTACGTCGGAGGAATCCTGTTCTGTTTCCTCTTCGTCTACATTTTTAACTAGCCAGTCTACGAAAATAGTCAATGTAGTTATCATACGATTACATTACTAAGGTAATTTACCTGTCCTAGTTCTATAAAGTTCATCAATTTCTTCTTCAGTAGAACGGGCAACTTTTACCTTATCTTTTTCATTCTTTGTTACTATCCAACCTAAAATTTAACTTTTGTATAAAATTTAATAATGGTCTTCATTGTAAATACTTCTGTCTGTATTATTATCAAATAAATCACTGAATGAAGCGCTAGCAATCTGCTCATCCATATTTCAGATTTTCTTTAATAACATTATTATATAGTCCGTTAACATTAATGTTCCTAATTCCTACCATTCAAATATCAAATAAATATTAAATATTCGGTCGATTTGACAGTATACTGTCCACAGATTATAGAGTTATAGACATATACTGTCAAATCTATGAAATATTGAGACTATGGAGTTTATACAAGGAGTGAAGGAAGACTTACGAGCCGTGCATACAAATTCGAATCCCGTTTTCAGTTATTCCGGTTTATAACTTACATTATGACACAAAGTAAAATTTTATATTTCAATCAACTGAAATGATTGAGAAAGGAGGCGGCGCCATCTATACAGTAAGAGTTCAATTAATTCGACAAAGATTGTTAGGTGTGAGTTTAATACAGTTGTTTACTTGTTAAATAATGTTTCCGCAGTTTACTGCAGTCTTTGAGCAATAGATGGCGGCGTAAGAGTTTGAAACGATATAGTGCAATTTCATTGGTCAATCGACACAAGTGAACGTTTCACTTCACTTGTGTCGATTGAATGGAATGACCCGTTTCTAATGGCACGAAAATTAAAAAAAAAATAAAGTACCTTTCTAAAGGCGGTTCCGTATGCATCTGGGACCGCTATACATGCTGCAATGGTCGGTTTTTTACAAGTGCTTCCGTTAAGAAAAAAAATCGAAAATTTCGAAAACTGTTGGAGCTAGAGAGGAACTTAATGCTGTTTTAGATTGATCAGGTCTGTTATAGTTCACAGATTTTTTTTCAGATTTTTCTGAGCTTTAAAACTTTTTGAGAAAGTCGAAGGAATCAATGAAAATTGTCAAAAATTTAAATGCTCATTTCAAGGCGGTTTTGTCTCACTTTTTAATATAATCATGGAGACTATATAATGGTCATTATCGTCATATTGTAAGTTTGGTTGCCTAATATTTGCAATCACAAAGTTCGAGTAACATATAATGTATTATCAATAATGTAAGTTTGGTTGCCTAACATTTGCGGTCCCCTATGGGTCTGGGATCATACGCTCTGATGGTCGGATTTTGTGCAAGTGGATAAAAATCGAAAATCTCGAAAATGATGGAGTTGAAGAGGAACGAATGCAGTTTTGGATTGGTCAGGGCCGTTATAGTTTACAGGAATTTTTTTGATCTACAAAACTTTTTGAGAAAATCGATGGACAAAATACATCCAGGACTTCTAGGTGTTAATAAGGAACTGTCTCTAATTGAGGTAAGAAACTGGTTCAAATACTTCAAATCGAAAGCAACTATTAAATATTTGTAGTCTTCATTTATTGATTATGGTATGAAACTGGGTACTGGGATTAGTAAAGTTAAAAATTCGAAATGGTTATTAGTTGATCTTTGTTCAAACTCATGCAAAAGATACCTGCGCGATGGGAATATATAATTATTTTTAATAGAGATGTGCGGCGGACATGTCGTGAAAAGAGGACATGTCTTGAGGCAACTTTTTATGATTGAAAAGTTGTATGCGCATGCGCGAAATTGTTTGTTGCATTCATAATTCCCGCAAAAAATTTTTGAGGTTGGTACATGTAAAATTAAAGATATTTGCCATTTTCTTAAATTCTGTTGGTAATTGTTTAACTTTTAACTGAAACTGACATTTTAAAAATATAACCTCTGTTGTATGTCCGTATTTTATTATTTTTGGCAAAGTTTGATTAGTAAATAGTAATCAGTTGATTCTTAATTTAATATTTAATACACAAATAGTTTATAAAAGAAGTATGACGCCAAAATCAACAGTTTGGTTATATTTTTCTGAAATGAGTAAAAATCATTATAAATGTAACTTCTGCTCAAAAACAATTTTTAAGAATTCCAGTAGGATGGAAAAACATTTAAAAAAGTGTATTGGCTGTCCGGGGAAAATTAGAGACCAGTTTATAAAAAAGTCTAAAGGTAGCTAAAAAGTAAAATATATCGACACATATTCATTAGAATAAAAGTAATATTTTGCTTTGTGTACACTCAAACAGTGACCTGTGAAAACATGACGTAACTCGTAGCTGCCTTATTAGATTCACGATCAAAAGTACTTTTCCCGGACATTTCATCTACATGTCCAACGGACATGTTCGTAACACTTTTCCGAAAAGTGCCCATCTCAAATTTTTAAAATACTTCGCAGTTTAGTTTTTCAGTTCCTTTTATGAGATAAATGTTTTGAGAAAACTTACATAGTGTGGATAGGTAATTCATTTTTAGTCGTTATATTTTAAAAACGATTTTATTAACATGAATCGGTCAATTTACAAATTACATATGTTACAAAAATTATTAAAGCTTAAAATTACAACACTCTACAACAATCTTAGTATATTCTGATTTCATACATCGGCTTATCTACAATTAACCGATCGAAGCCAAACCTCGTTAAATCTATTGTCTGAAAATTGCCGTCTAACATTAATTCTGATATTGCTCGACCGACAGCTGGCGCTTGTTGTATACCTACGAAAAAAAAAACAAGTCAAAATTTAAAATAGTTTTGTTCAAATATAAGTCCTTACCATGCCCGCTAAATCCCGTCGCTATATACATGTTATGGTAGTACGGATGAGGTCCAATAATGCCATTTTCGTCAAACGTATTGTAGTCATAGTAACCACTCCAAGCACCGGCAACCTAAACGAAAATTGTAAAAAGAATTATAAAGGCGCGAAAAAAACTTTTTGTACTAACTTTAACGGCTTCAAATGCCGGAACCCTTTTGGACAGAATGGGCCAAATTCTCTCGTCGAAAAAATTGTAATCAACTTCCAAATTTTCACAAGAAGGTTCTTCCTCTGGCGGTGGAGACAGTCCGCAAATAAACGTTCCACCTAAACCTTCTCTCCTAAAGTACATCCCGGTGTAGTCTATGGTCATCGGTGTGTTTATTCCAGGAGGTTCGCCCTGGCAGTTGAAGCTATAGACATATCTCTTCCTAAAAATCAAATGAAAGAGGAACACGTAACGGATCGGAGGATTGGTGGGTAATTCTACCTCTTTTCCACGGGCAAAGGTATGGACAGCATTCCGCTTCCCACTCCTACCTTAGCCAGTTGTGCTATTTCTCCCGAATCACATCCAGCTGCTATTACGCACGCCGCAAATTCTATAGTTCTTTGCTCGCCATTTGGCATCCTTACCTGCGTAAATAATAATAATAATAATAATAACTTTATTTGCCCAACAGTGTACAAGCACCATTTACAGAGCAAAACTTAAATATTCATAATTATAGTGCAAATAATAATAATAACGTATTTTTGGAGAGATATAACCAACAAAACAAATGTCATATGCCTACTGGCATAAAGCATTACTTTGTACCTACCCACCTGTAAAAATGACCTACTAATTTGCCCCGGTTGGCATTGAATTACACCCACAGTATCTAGCAAATAGCTAAGATCGTTCATTACAACATAGTCCAGGCGGTATAATAATAATTATGCTTTAAACAATTTTATAATATATAAACAAACTTACTAGTGTCACCTGGTGCAACATGCAAACATTTTGGTCGCGAATATTAACATAGTAAATAAATAAACATAATAAATTAATCATTTTTTAAAGTAAGTGTTTATCGGCATGTCATAAGTCCAATAATTAATAATAAAAGGTAGTTGAAAGTATGATAATTGAATTTTTTGTTGCAAGACATCAATTTTAAAAAAAATCATTGAAATTGGTCCATTAGAAGCTGAGATAATTTTAATTTTTCCGAGCGTCGCAGTTTTGAATTCGAGAATTCAGATCGGAGTAGCTGTGCGTTTGCTCCCCCCACCACTGATACCTTATTGATTGCACACGGTCTTGAATACTTTTGAGTGATATTTTAAATGGGACGCCCGTGATTGCAAATTTTGAATATTTATATCTGGAAATTACTCGGAATGACAAACCTATTAGTTCAAAAACAGCCCTTATACCCTTATAGTTTTGCTGTAAATAAGGGTTAACTTGAACGGGCTATAACTCCGAAAATAATGGGCGGATCATCAGTTTTTTTTTTTAAATACTCGTCTTTCCGGGTACTTTCAATCCATATTTTAAAATAAAAAAAAATATGAAAAAAACATTAAATTGTTGAAATGAAAATGTTTAAACAATCACCACGGCTCACCTATTTGTCCGATTTGAATTTTTCAAAAAGCATTTTAAAGCTTGAGAGCTCTTCTTTTTGTGGTGAAATTTTCAAGTATTCAAAGGCTTTAGATTTTTAGAAATTTGATTTTGAAAATTTTTTAATTTAAAAAAAATTTAAACAATTATTATGTAAAAACTATCGAACCCAATTGGATGAAATTTGGTGTGATGATTTTATGCACTAAGAAGTTTAATTGGGAAAAGTATGAAGATCCTAGGTATTATTCAAGTGTCTGAAAAAAATTGACAAATAAACAAGCATTTTTTGCAAATTTTTAAATGATTTTTCCGATATTTGCTACAACAATTATTATTTTTTGGAATTGCAATTAACTCTATCTTGTTCAAAATTTAATTACAAAACTTTTTTTCCTCTTCCATTTTTGTCTAAAATAAATAGTTGCTAAGTTGTCGACGAGAAATCCAAGAAAAAAATGATTTTTTTTTGCACTTTTTTATACTCTTTTGCAATAATAATTAAATCCACTTTTTTTTTATTTGCATAGAAAAATTATCATTTCTGGTGTTATTTAGAAGCCATTAAAGCAAAAATCTCCAATCATATTGGTTTACCCAAGTATACCCTTTTTAAAACAGATACCGCCTGGACTAACAGTCACCAGACAGATCAGTTTCAAACTCGTTACTTCTCATCGATATGTTATAGGTGAGGTTACTGATAAATGATTTAGCTATTTGGAGGTATATCTACTGATATGATTTGAGTATAGGTGAGATATAACCTATAAAGTATATGTCACATCTTGATTTTATTAGAAAGTGTATGACATAAGGAAGATTTTGTGCTGTCAAACGTGTTTGTACATTTTTAAAGAATTCCTTTTTAAAAAAAATATTTTTAACAAGAATTGTTATAATATTGTTCTTACTGCCAGTTGATTTATTCCTTCGTAGTTTCCCTCAATGCCTTCCACGAGTATTTCTTTATTCTCACTGAACATAAAATCTACCACCTCGCCTTTAATGTATTGAGCGCCTAATTCCTTTGCGCCCGCCTTCAGTATGTTGAGTAGAGACCAGGGATCGAACCATCCCTCTTTCTCCAACCCCAGGCAGCCTACTTCTAAGTCGGAAACGTCTAACCAAGGAAATCTAAAAGAAAACTATAAGGGTTAAAAATATCTAATTACAATTACATAATACCTTTTCTTGAGTCCTTCTTTGCCAAGAATCATATTTACAGCCCCGATGTTATTTTGCATTTTGGAATTATCTATTAGTTGTGCAGCACCTTCTTCGCTCGCTAATACTAAATACCCATGAGGGGTGAAATGTACTTCGGCATTAGGCCCGAAACGTTTTTTCAACGTCCTGAGAAACTCGGCTCCATACAAAGACATCTGGACGTTTTCTGGGAGTGAAAACTGTTGCCGCAGGCCTCCCACAGACAGGGTCGTGGAACATTTCGCATACTGTTGAAAAACTAACAAGGTTTATTTAAATCGCTACATACCACCGATCTTTTTACCGTAGTGTCTTTCTCTATTACAACCACCCTCACTCCTTCGTAACCTGACTTTTCCTTCAACCAATAAGCTATGGAGCTGCCAATGGCTCCTCCACCGATGATCACTATATCGGCATGTTTTGGAAAGCCTCTTGTTAAAGCAGTTGGTCGATTATTTACGTATTTACGATTCTTCAGCTTTATGTCATCTCTTAATACCCTAAAAGTCCTCCAAATTGGATTTTCGAAGTCTTCACACAATTGAACACTTTTGTGGAAAGTCCTTTTGCCCGAAATTAATTTGCAACATAATTTGAGAGAGCGCCTACAAAACATTTTATGCGTTTGCTAACATTGACGACCGCAGTTAATCTAATCTAGTTATTACTTAATTTTTCTTTGTACCATTTTAAGAATCTTATCAAAATAAAAAGCAATAAGGTTAAGAGTTTAGAGGTTAAAGTTAGGTTATGTCAACTGTTATGAAATATTTGCATTAACGACCAGCATAGAGATATTTGAACCGATAAGACAATATTGCAGAAGACTGCAGATTCTAGTCAAGTAGTCAGTAGTATTTCTTGGTATTTCTCAACTAGTGTTTTCAACGATGAGTTTACATTCAATTTCAGGTTAACTTTACTTAACTTGATGTTTTAGTGACGTTTTTAAAATTTGCATTTTATCAGGGCAAGTTTTATTTACAGCGAATGTAGCAAAATGTATTTGTTTTAGATTATTTCGACGACATAACAATGTCAAGGCGTAGGGGCACAAAAAGCAGTGAAGTTCTTTACTCCCAATTGCCCACGAGTGACCAAGGCTTCACCGATGCCCAATTTCTAGTACCGGCTCAAAAAGTACCTTGGAAGGCAATCGCTTTAGCTACAATGTTACTTGTCGTTGGTACAAGTTTACTTGTTTTCGGATGCATGGTTGTAACGGGGCATATTGTTCTTCAGTATTCGGATAGAATGTGGCCTATGATAATTTTAGGTGTGTTAATGTTCATACCGGGGGCCTATCATATAAGAATTGCTTATTATGCGTACAAAAAAGTGCCTGGGTTTTCATTCGATGATATCCCCGAGTTTGAATAGAAGCTTAATTGTTTTGGGACTTAATTAATATTTTAAATACAAGTATTAACTAACAAAATAACGCTTTAAAATATGTTATTTATATTAAAGATTTTGTAACTACGCATTTTAATAGTTGTGAAAACTGGAGAACTAAAAGATTTTAAATTATATTCTAGTCATTTAAAGTAATTTTTTAAGTATTTGTTATATCACTTTATCAGTAACAAAAGGCAAAATGGTAAATTCCAATAAATTATATAATAAAACTAATACCTTGTTTTCCTTTACAAATTACAAAAAAAATATTTGAAATATTGTAATGTCTAAAAAAAATAAATTCCTCAGATTTGCATTTGCACATTGCAGAAATGTTATTTATTTTATCGATTTAACTTTTACTATGGCGTCATCTATTATACGATTGTGGTACAAATAGTAATTAATTACAGTAATCTGTAATCCATACCTCTACATTAGAACTACAGCTGGGTCGTGAAGTTAGTTGTATGTCATGAATGAAGAAAACAATAATCGGCAAGTGGCTTTATATTTCATAAAGTAAGTAGCAGATGGCGCATTTAATTTCGGGTTTTTACAAATAATCAGTGTTTTAAATTTAAAATATAGCTTCACTTATTTTTCAAAGAATAACTTTTATTATAATGATGTGATATATTCACTATCTACACATGGAATTCGTGATTTATACGGAGTATTTTTGGTACAACGGTTATGATAATTAATTATTATTACAAAATTTGTAGTCTTATTACATTTTACAAAGGAACGCTTGCCAGTGAATTTGAATTTATGAAAAAGTGTTACCTAATCAGAAAGATTAGTTTTTCAGGTGTGGGATGGATGCGGGAAGATATTAAATTTATATCGAGCCGAACGCGAGGGGAAGCTTCGAGACGTCCTCTTTATATTCATTGTCAGAGCACTGGGAGATCCTTTTTTGTGGCATCAAAATCACATCAGAAGGTCTATATATTATAAGAGTTTGAGCGGGAAAACTTTCAACCACGCCAAATTTGATGGATGCTATTCTTCAGGTCATAGAAATATAGTGTTTTTTCCTCGTTCGATTTCCAACAAACAACTAACACATTTTCATAATAGATGAATGTCAAATTTTATAATATAATTTTTTATTAGTGCACTAAATCGCTAATAAAAAAAATAACTATCCCTTTTTGTTGCAATTATTGGTTATTTAGGCTAGTTTATAAATAATTTCTTTGTTGTTATTACAAGAAAGCGAAAAATATTCTCGCTTATCGGGAAACGCATAAAAATACATTACGACGTCATAAAGTGCATACAATGTTATTCTCATAAAACTAAAGGAAAACTTTGTAATTCGGGGCAGTAAAGTTGAGTTAAATTTGTCTTTTACATCACATTGGCTTAAAGTCTGCAAACCTTAGCAAAACGTCAATGTTTTAGGGACCATGCAATGTAGATTATTTTTCTAAATTTGCGGCTACTCATTAATATCGTTAAATCCCAAGTACAGAGTTCAAGTAGAAAGTTTTTGTAATAAAAAATAGATAGCAAAATTCGTTTTCTCTCAAACAGCTTTTTTTTTAATGCATTTTTCAACGTGACATATTTTTTTGTTATTTATAAATGTAGGTTTATTTAAAAATGGTATTATGCGTTTTTGTGCGCGGCAGGAGGCTCATGCGTCGCCGCCTGATAAAATATCCTAGACAGAATGCGCTGCCGGCGCCAGTAGCGTCGCGACGTCTCTCCAGACTGCTGGACGCGGTTCCACGACAAGCGCACCAGAATACGACCCACGTGTCGTCCTCGGTTTATTATTCCCGGTCACTTGCACATGGGCAAATTTTTGTAGGAAACCACTGCTCAATACTACACTAGGTGGGTGGTTTTATTAGCTATATTATTATTTATTTTCATAAAAAAATGTACCTATATATATACATCGCAAACGCACTTTTTTTTTAAAGATGAAAATTATATGGATAAATTTTTAATTAATCTTTGAAAAAAAATTGCTTATATTTGGTGAAAGTATCGCAAAAATATTTGTAAAAATAAGTTGTTTTAATACCAGACTATGCGATCATAACTTTGGTTGTAGGTTAAATTTCTTGTTAATTTGTGAATTTTTAATGTTAATCAAATTTTAACTTTCATAGCTGTGCACGTGATAGATATCTTTGGATTTCGGTTAAGGAACACTCTGTATATATGAATGAATTTGTGAATTTCGTGTACAAACTTAAATGCTTGGCTAAACGTTAATGGAGCATTTTGTCTCATAATTTAGACAAAAGTTCTTATAAATATGAGTCCGGCAATACTCCGTTTTCCAGAAAAAATATGGTTTATATCAAATAGTATAAATATATTTACTTGGAGTGTAACTTTTATTTAGAGTGTACATGTTACGGTGTTGTCACTTATCTTGAAAACATGCAGCAAAAACATATTTTTGTAAAACCTGATTTTAAATATCTTGTGGGAAAAAAGGCTTCAAAACTACACCCAGCATTTAAAAAATAGGTAATCATTTAAAAAAGGGTTGTGTGTAAATAAAAATTGAAATTTTTTAAAAATCACTCGTTCTGCGTTTGGAAAATGCAAAAGAATGGAGAGAAATACCAAGTAGATATTTAGAGAAAAAAATGAAATTTAAGAAAATGCAGGAAAATTTTTAATTATAACCTGAACAGTCGAAGACAAAGTTGTTAAATTCGTAAGGTCCAACATTAGAAAAATAAATAGCTAGAAACCCTCGTACAAGGGCGTCACCAGCAAATGGTCTAGAGGGGGACAAGATAAGAGAGGGGATGGGAGAAATATAAATTATAGGTAGAAATGGGTACATTGAATTAATTTTTTTAAGAAATATTTTTAATAAAACCTCTAATACAAGAAAAACATAAAAAAATATAAATAACTAAAAAAATAAAGAAATTCAACGAAAATTAGGTTTTTTGAAAATTTGTCGACCTTTATTAAAAAAATCTTCATGGTTGTTAAAAATAAGCTTTCTGATATACTATCGCTGATATCATCGCTAGGCCATTGAAATGATTTTGTACCATAGTATATTTTTCAGCCAGGTTTTTATTCTTCTATTTCTATAAAATTGGTGCGTTACATATAATATGTATAGCTTTAGTTGCACTGTTAAACTTTTATTCTGATTCCGATAGATAATTTTTTTTTATTTAAAATTCTAGAGCTAAATTTTTAAAATATGGAAATGTATATAAATGGAAATTTTAACATAAATTTTATATTTTTAAATTCTTTTGTCAATAAATATTTATACTAATTTATTACAATTATTTTTTTTTTTTATAAATTAAGTAATGTATTAATTTTCACAATTAAAGTTTAATTAAACAAAATATTTTATTAAAATAATTCCAATCTAATGTTTTCTTAGCTTAAGAAATGTTTGTACTCTTCGAATTTCTAACTAATGATTAATGGGAAACAGTGGGGTAAGTTGGTTTGGTTTAATTATCTTAAAAGTAAATTCAAAATAAGCAAAAATATAATGTTATATAATGAAGGTTAGACTTTTTTAAAAAAAGTCCGACTTAACATAACTTACAACAGGAAATCTATATATTAATTACATATTGTTATATCAATCATGTTTATTTATCAAGCTACTTTGATTGAAATATGAAATTATAATTTTTAAAATGCTTGTAACTTCTAAACAAAAACGAATCGGAATCATATAAGAAAAAATGTTTGAAATTAACCCATCTGTCAAAGTTTGCCATAGAGCTTGCAGCACACCTTGTATATTTAGTAAAAAACTCAACCCAACACACTTTTTATTTGACTGGGTATTTCTGCCAAATAAATATTGGTAATATGTATTTTTTTGTGTCCCATTTCGGACGAGACATAACTTTGGACGTCATTTCTGAGAACGTTATTCCAGTCTCGGTTCCTTTGACGGCCGATTATTATCAGAAAGAATGTAATATAAAGCACCGGGATCCAACGCCGGACAAATCACTTTCAGGTCCATATTACGGCAACTTCACGGTAACTGACGGGTCTGATTTAGTATTCCTATAAGATAAGTGTCACAAGCTATACGCCGGTCTCTTTCTGGCGATTGGGGTCACGGGAGCCCCTGGGACGTGTCAGGAATGATAAGCATATTCGGGACGCCAAAAGGACGAAATTACCACCTGGATTTTGTTAGAATTCGTCTGGAGAAATTGTGTAATATTACGATTAAGTTATTTTACTCCAGCAAGGGGTTGTTAAATGTTTCAAACTTTAGAGGCGAGTCGAGAATTTAAACCAACTTGCTTTATTTTAAAAGAATTTGCAGAAAAGTTCAAATTTATTTAGTCTGGAATAACATAACCTTACTTTTATGCTGTGCAACATTGAACATTATACCACATATTTTAAACGATCTTTCAGAATCAAGAAAAAAATAGGGGGTTGCTATTTAAAAAAAAAATTTCGATGACGTCATTACTCGAAAACAAATGACGGTTGAAAATCGCCTTTTATGCTGAAATATGTATTTTTTAAATTAAAAATCGACCTGTTCGAGAATTTTTCCCAAAAAAAATTTGTTTCGTTTTTACTGAATTTATTCCATGCTTTAGGGGCGTACTGTATAATAGCAACAGAATTATGCCGCGAATGATACGCACGAAATGAAAACTATTATACCTTGTAAAATACGGTTCTATATGAAAGCATGTCTGGGTGTTTCGCATAAGAACCGACATCCAAAAAGTGGGATATTTCGACAGATCCGCCCTAGTTTACCTGCGCAGTTCCTAAAATGACAAATTTTCAGATTAGGTGTCTCTTGCACGTCAACATTTAGGTCAAGCGATAAAATGGGCCGACATTTCATTGCTAAAAACAATCCGCAGGAAACAATTTGTCCGCACCCTTTCACCCCAGCAGGCTATTCACCTAGCCATTATCCAAGAGTGCCGCTTGAGATCCCCCACGTACCTTGCCGAAAAGTTAGTAATTGTCCACTCTGGGGTCCATTAAAGCAGAACAATTACCGCCGGAGTGCCCAAAGTGCCCGAAACGATGGCATGCATAATTGGCCAGCAAATTGTTCCTCTCTTCATGACCGATACGGGATAAATATTGTACGTATAGCTCGATTAAGGAGAACAAGAGACGAGTAGTTGGGTCCGGTAAGAGATTTCTCATTGAAATTCAATGTAATTAGTTCTGTATTCAGATTTGCGC